CCGCCTCCTCAGCCCGCCGCCCCGCGTCCCCCGCCGCGCCGCCGCCCTCTGCGCCCCGCGGCGCCCCCCGGTCCCGCCCGCCATGCCCGGCCCGGCCGCGGGCAGCAGGGCCCGGGTCTACGCCGAGGTGAACAGCCTGAGGAGCCGCGAGTACTGGGACTATGAGGCTCACGTCCCGAGCTGGGGGTAAAGCCGCCGCCCCCACCCCCGCCCGGCCGCCCCCCCCCCGGCGCAAACCGCATTGGCCCCCCACCCCGCGCGGTCTGCCTCCCCAGCCGCCCCGCCGCTGGCCGGCGCTTTCTCGGGTCTGGGGTGGGAGGCAGAGCCCCCTCTCCCCCCACCCCCCGCTGCACATGTCCTCGTCTCCCTGTCCCCCCTTTTCCCCGCCTTGCGCACCCCTCTCTCCCCCTTACCCCAAAGAATGCTTTCTTACTGAGAAGTGTAGGGTCCAGGGACTGAAGCCTTATGAAAATGAGAGAGCAGCCCTTCCTCCTTACACTTCTGGGTTTCTATTTGGGGTGGGCAGTCAGCAGCTGTCCTCTGGAGCTATTAAAATTCTCTGCCTTTTTAGTTTTTGAAATGAGGCTGGGTGGGAGGAAATCTTTTAAAGACATCCACATTCTCAAAGCAGGCGCTGTCTACCTTTGGGGTGTGAGGTATAAGGCAGTTGCTGTGGAGCCCCAGGCAGTGGGGCACCCTCTGAGCCCCCAGGATGGATGCTTTGCTCACCCTTCTAGATTGGCTCAGAGCCGTGCCTTCCTACCTCTGCTCCCCAAGTTGTGATTGACCAATTAGGTTAGGAGCTGTGAGCAGAGTGAAAGGAGCCAAGTTTATGTTGTGGTTTTCATTTAGGGAATGAGTTGTGTCCTGATGTATAGACGTTTCCAATGCTTGATTAATGGAAGTGACTGGATGGGGGTATATAGTGGGCATAGGCTTGGTTAATCCCAAGTCCTGGCATTTATGTGTCACTCTTGCCTTTCACAGTAATCAAGATGATTACCAGCTGGTTCGAAAACTTGGTCGGGGAAAGTATAGTGAAGTATTTGAGGCCATTAACATCACCAACAATGAGAGAGTGGTTGTAAAAATTCTCAAGGTGAGTGCCTTATGAGTGGCATTAAAAATTTTGTTCACGGGTCCCGAGGTAAACAGCCACATTGTAGAATGAGCAGTGCACGCTCTCGGCTCACACATCTTCTGTCTGATGTCCCTTTGCTGCTACTCCTCCCACCTGTTTCCCTTCTTCCTTTGAAGAAAGTATGTAGACCTGTTTGAAATCAAAGCATGATCGTTCAGGAACATACTTGTCCTGGAATGTCATTGTGGTCTCCCAAAGTGAAAATTCCAAAGGGGTCCATTTGTTACAAAAAGAAATAGGGATTTGTATGAAAGAAAAGTTTTTCCAGTGAAGATCCCGTCAATTCAAGGGCTCCTTGAGCACGGAGTTTGTTACCCTTGGTGCTTAAAATGATTCCAGAAAGAAAGTTGGAAGAAATTAGAGCAGCTCCAAAGATGAGTTTGAAGCTTGGGTAGAAACACCTCAGCGGATGATCAATTGATTCGTCTCCTTTAGCAGTAAAAGTGTGTCAGGTGGGGTTGGATACGGTGAACCAATAGTGCCCAGAAGGTTCATTGTTGCTTATCAAATAGTAAAAGTGAAATTGGGAGCAGTAGAAGAGTACGCTTACAATCGCTAAAATTAATAGTTGAAACAGTCTTTGTGTCTGGTTTAGTTGCGCTAAGTTTGATAAAGATACACCTTTTGTTGTCTCTTCGGTGAAGACATGATCTTAATGAGCATGAAGAGTTGGCTAAATTCTCCTTCAGGTAACTGGTTGGATGGCTTTAGTAATATTTTATAGGGTGTACTAAAAAAAAAAAGGGTAATTCTAGGCTCCGTGAAGGGTCTTCATCGTTGCCAGATCATTTAATGTGTGTGCATGTCATTCAGTGAAATATCGAAAAGACTAAAGAATGATTAATAATAGCACTTTTGCATATACAAGATTTCCAATGTGGCCATTTTGGAGAGGCTCCGTGAATAAGGATATGGGATTGGAAAGCAGTTTTTGTGTCTTAAGGATAGAGTTAGGGCAGCTGTGTCCCTGGTTAGGATGAGGGGTCAGGCTTACGCTGTGTGAAAATCAGTTTTCAGAAAAGTGATCAGCTCTGTTAGTACCATCCGAGCCTAGTGATGCAGAAGCAGAGTTGCAGTAGACAGAAGTACGCAAAGTTATCTGTGCCCTCAGAGGCACTGGGGGTGAGAAGTGAGGAATTGATACTGAAGATGTGGAGTTTGACTCCCCTCTTCCCCAAATGTGAACTGGACCTGAAAAGTCACATGGTCTTTTTTTTTTTTTTCTTTACAAGCATAAATATTTAAAGAAATGTTCCCTTCAGGGAAGTCATCTGGGTAAGCCATATGATTTTTTCCTTTATACATAAGCATAAATGTTTTTAATATAAGCTGCTTAAAATCTTTCTAGGAAGTGAGCAAGGCATAAGTTGAACTTAGGAATATCCATATTCCACTGCTGTGCATTTGGAAGAATGAAGTGCTGACTCCAGAACAATTTCAGAAAAATAACTTTTATGCAGTAGCAGCATTTTTAGAATACATGTGTAACTTCCTGTGGTGTCTTTTTTGGAGGAATGACCTTTAGGTATATATATATAAGTGACAGCACATTCATGCAAGAGAACATCGAGTTGCTCTTTAGTCTTCCTTCTAGAGATCTTCATAGCATCCGTTCCTGGATAGTTTTCCCCCTAAAGATTCACAGGATATGTTTAGGGAACCCAACAAGGAAGCTGAAGGTTATTTTTACAGACGAGAAACCTAGGCACAGGAAAACTTACCGGATACCACTATGTAGAAATGACCCTTAGCCAGAACTGTTTCCTACGTCTTCCTCTCTTTCCTCATTTTAGCATGGGCTTGTAAGATCTTCAGAATAAGTTCCCGTGTTCTGGAATAAGACTTGGGAGGCTCCTTGGATGCTCTAGTTAATGAAGTGTTCCTTGAATCTTTTCCATACAAGTTCTTTTCAGGGTACAGCCTGAACCAACCTCGTTGCCACTGGTGAAAACCACCCTCACTTCTTTCTTTTTTCCAAAGCCCTGTGGCATTTCTATCCTGATTTTGTTCTATCTGAAGGATGGGGTAAGAATCTACTAATGGTATTGTGGTTTTCTCGTTTTCACAGGCTGAATTAAAGTGGATTAAAAGTATTGTTTGTTTGTTTTTAAAAAAGGACAGGGTCTTGATCCCAAGTTGTGCACTCCTATTCAGATAAGTTATGACTAGTATCTGCTGTTACGGTGTTTGGTCATAGGAAATTAGGTCCTTAGCAGAGTACCAGCTGCTCATAATTTAGAGGAATTTAGAAAAAACTTCCTCTTCATGAAAGGCCTACTGTATTTCAACGGCAGGAAGGAACTTAATGTATTCATGTACACACAGTGACCGAGATAGAAGGTATATTCCTTGAAGACAGGGCTGTCTTCCCTTTTGGTCAGTAACATTTTCCTTCAGTTCTTTCCAGTGTATGAGGATGGTCAGATGGAGAATGACCACAGAGGAATTCTATCATTTAATTTGTATCCATAGATTTTTTTTGGTCAAAACATATGGGAGCTCTTAAGAGGTTTTAGGAATTTAAAAGTTGGTGAACAAAATTTTACTGTCTATTTTGAAGTGAAATTTGGAAGTTGAAATTTTTTAAATGTTCCAGTCAATAGGAAGGTTATATCCTTTTTGGCCAAAATTGTTTTGAGGAGAAAAAAAAAAGAGAGGGTGGGTGGGAAGGGTTAACAGGAGGGCAGAAATCCACTTTAGTGCTGAAAGTTTCATCTTTTGATTCTGAACAATCCATTGCTCAGTTCCTTTGTAGTACCTCTTAGGAAGGTATACACAGAAATAAAAGCATTTGGCCATTTTGGACAACTTGTAGCATTTTTTGGGCACCACCTATGTATGGATTTCAGCTCTTCTTGGGATCCTTCAAATGAAAACTACTGTTTCCTAAATAGAAGTTAAGAGCAATACCATTTTTAAATGTGTACAGTGTTTTGAACCCATGCTGCCCTGATTTGGAAATTCTCATATAAGAGAATGAGTTGGTAGTCTGTTGGTAGTCTTATTTCATAAAGAGTTGGGCAAATCCATTTTTCCCCGGAGGTCAGTTCTCAAGATTAAAACAAGGAATGGTGGTAATACAAGTTTACTTTTTAAGTGGGCTTAACATATTTGTAGACGTTTCTAAAACGTGCGGTGAGGAGGTGGTGTTAAAAGAAGGATGGGAGGCCTGCCAATGACCCATCTTGCGGGGTTAGTTCAGAGTGAGCAGGCGACTCCTTGGTTGTATCAAAGTGATGTTTGCTCATCCTGGTGCAGGGCTTTCTCCTTTATTTCTGCTTTCTCTGGTGGTAGTTTTTTTCCCTCCAGGTACTTTGTTAGGCAAATGTACCAAGACATCATCTTCCTGAAGCAAGACATTAGTACTAATTTATCTAAAGTTTTTGTGATTTTTTTTTTTTTTTAGTTCCCACAAATGTCTTATGGTATAAGAGTAGTTAAAATGGTATTATGAAAGTGTTACTAACATCAAAAATAATATGAATTTTTAAAATTATGTGTGAGCTAGTCAGTGCTGTTTCTTTTTTCTTTTAAGATTTTATTTATTTGGGGCGCCTGGGTGGCTCAGTCGTTAGGCGTCTGTCTGCCTTTGGCTCAGGTCATGATCCCAGGGTCCTGGGATCGGGCCCCACATCAGGCTCCCCACTTAGCGAGGAGACTGCTTCTCCCTCGCCCTCTCCCTGCTGCTCCACCTACTTGTGCTTGCTCTCTGTCAAACAAATAAATAAAATATTTTTTTAAAAAACTCATTTATTTTATTTGATAGAGATCGTGTGCGCGCATGCAAGTGCAAGCAGAGTCGGGGGGGCAGAGGGAGAGAGAATATCAAGCAGACTCCTCACTGAGTGCGGAACCTGATATGGAGCTCCATCTCACGACCCCAAGATCATGACCTGAACTGAAACCAAGAGTTGGATACCCAACCAACTGAGCCACCCAGTCGCCCTAGTCATTGCTGTTTCCAATATTGCGGTTGTAGGGTCTGAGCTTGAGAGTGCAGTGAAACAGAATCATGAAATAAGGGAGCAGAGAAACCTTAGAACCCAAACCCTTTTTACAGCTAAACTGAGACCCAGAGCACGCCGTTTGCTCAGAGTCACATGGTTAGGGGGTGTAAGCACTAGGGTCCTGGTCTTCTGCCCCTCTCGTGGATCTTGTAGATGTGAGAAGCAGTTAGGACATTTGCTGGGTATTTGACTTCTTGAGGTGTTGAACTGTACTGGAAAGATGGATAAACACTCACTAGAAATCAAATGAATTTGTTCCTAATGGTTTTGGGGATTGGGATTCTTCTGGAAGGAAATGCTTGACTTGGACAGGTACTAGATGGAGTGCGGAACAGATGAATACCCAGAGAACTATAGGGACCCAGCCAGGGGCTCTCTGGTTTGGGTCTGCAGCAGCATGGTGAATGCATAAGTGAAATGTTATTTTGCTCTCTTGAAGCCACAATAACCAGTGTTTTTATACTTTTTTAACCCATACAGTTCCCTCATCATGATGACTTGCCAGATATGGGTGCTAACAACTTTATCCCTCTAATATATTAGGGTTGGAGAGTGAGCCATTTGTAAAAAGAATATCTTGACATAGAGGACCCCTTTTCATGTGTATAGTGTGGCTGTAGATAGTTTCTAGAGCCTGATTTTAGGATCTGTCCCCTCATGATGAGGGCAGTATAGTGTTAAGAAGTGCTATAAATGGAGGGCAGGAGACTTGGGTTCTAGAACCAGGATCTTCATTTATACCCAGTTGACTCTTTTTTCCTATCAATAAAATGGATATATGTTTCTTGTGGAACTCACAGGTTGTTGGGAGAATTAAGTGAGATCTGGAGAGATGGGGAGGTAGATGACAGTGTTTTAGTCATCTACACAGGGCTCCTTTCCTGAAAGTGGCCCTGGAAGTAGACTGCCTGCGTTCAGATGGGCATTCCCAACACTCTGCAGCTCTGTGACCTTGAGCAGTTATTTAAACTCTGCCTCAGCGTCCTCATGTAAAAATGCTCCAATAGTAACTCCTCTCAAAATACTATTAAAAGTGGATTAAGTGTGCTTAAAACAGTGCCTGGCACTTAGAAAGCAGTAAAGTATGGTTCTAAAAACAATATTTCAGTTGGGCCACATGAATGATTTCAGAGGGCAAAACCAGTAGTAGAAAGGACTGTACCACTCTCTTGATGAGATTCAAAAGGCCTGCTGTATGCCTTGCTTTTTTAAATTAAAACACACCCACCCCCCTGACAATAAACAGTCTCAAAGAGTCGATAACGTAACTGGAAAGATGGGACTTGAAAGATTAAGGGAAGAGTTGCTGCGAACAATTAATATTGCTCAGATAATGTTTATATTTGGGTTAGTTGCAGTGGATTTGAGAGATGCTCCCAAGGTAGTAAAATAAATGCTGTCATCGAGGCTGAACTTTTCTTCCTTACTCTGTCCTGCATCCCTGGCAACCAGTTTTCATTGTGATTGTTTACTGCAGGTGACGAAACTTCTGTTGTCACTGTGGCACTGGAATAAAAGTAATTCCAGATTTGGAAGTTCTACACCACCTTCCTGCCTGTCTTGAATTTATTAATTCAGTTGTGCTTAGAAAGAAATGAAAATGGGACTTTGCCTGTTAACATTTGCTGGGATTTATTGAGGTCCTAATTCTTATGCCCTTTGTATATGTTAGGTCACAAATTCAATCACAATCAAATGCTAGTAGTTGAAATCATTCTCAGATCTGGCTTTTTAAAAATCAGCCTTAAGTAAATAGGACCGACCGATCACTGGCTTCATTAACAAAGCAGCCCATCACTAAGTTTGTCTTTTAAGTTTTTCAGTGTTGGTCAATAGGGAGAGAGAAGTAGTATCTTAACTCTTGGATTATGTTGAACAAAGTTGTCCTGAATAGCTGGGACTCTGCACCAGGTGGGCTGAAACCTTTGGGAAAGTTCCTTCCTTCCACCCCCTATCTTTGTCTCTCTTTCTTTCTCTCTTTCTTGTTTTTTCCTTCCCTCCCTCCCTTTCCTTCCTTTCCTAAGCTCATGCACAGAAAATTTCAAATTGAGTTTTTTCCTTTTAAACATTCTCTCTAGGTGTGTGCCAGAATTCATTTATTACTGAAACTTGATTTAATACTTTAATTTCTTTTTTCTTTTTTAAGCTTTTTGCCATTTTGCTCTACTAGACTTTGAGTAAAAAAGAATATTGGGAAACAGCTGAACTGATTCATTTTGAATCTTTTAAACAGATATTCTCTGAATTGAAATAAATGAACCTTAACTGGGAGAGACTTTGTCTAGCAGGATGAAATGATGAGACTATGATGGAAGTGTGTATTTTCTCTGCGTAGCTACAGGTGGATGAATGCAAACGCTGGGCTACAGCTCAAAGCATTCTTATTTTCGTAGAATCCTTGGTCTGTTTTCCATAGGATGTGAAGGGTCTTCCTTTATAAATTCTAACCTTTTCTCTTTAATTCTGTTTACAGCATTAAAATGATCACGTTCATTCCCAGGGAGCTCATTGGTTTTTTAGCTTCTAGAGCATCTCCCAGGTTCGGAAGAATAAGCTTGAGGCTAAAGGGAGTTCCCTATGGCCTGGTTCCTGTAAAGAATAGGTGTCCATGCTTTGGTGGAGTATCCTGGGCTGTAGGTCACTTTCTTCTTTTATAATCTCTTGGTCTTTTGTCAGGATGTGAGGACTCCAGGTGCTGTGTGAGTCCATTGTGCCACTTGAGAATTGCCATGCTGTCCCCAGTCTCTAGGTGAGGAAATTGTTGGACAGGTGACAGTTGGGTAGCAAAATATGCTCCCTTGCTCCCTAAATTACCTGAGGACATAATGAGAGATACCTTAATCTCAGTGTCATTGTCCAGGAACCGTGTGCCTGCCTGACCTGTTGCTGACTAACAAGAGGGCAAAGCAAGACTTTATATGGGGCATTGTCATAAAGGCAACTGACTTAGTGGGTTAACCCTGTACTAATTCACCATTAGGGGGAGAGCAAGGTTTTTGGTGTATACAGATCTCTGGCTCTGGTGTATTTTCTCCTCTGTGACCACTCTCACAGATCTGTAACTGCTTTCCAACTCTAGAATTTTCTTACATTGAATATACTGGTAGCGGGGCGCCTGGGTGGCTCAGTCGTTAAAAGCGTCTGCCTTCGGCTCAGGTCATGATTCCAGGTCCTGGGATCGAGCCCCATATCCGGCTCCCTGCTCCGCGGGAAGCCTGCTTCTGAACCCTCTCCCCCTCCCCCCACTGCTTGTGTTCCCTCTCTCCCTGTGTTTCTCTCTGTCAAATAAATAAATAAAATCTTTAAAAATATGTATATATGTAGGTAGCATTGGCTGAATTTATAGATACAATAGCCAGCTTTTATTTTTCTTTTAACTTTTTGACATAACTTCAGACTTAAAGAAAAGTTACAAGAATCCCCATATATCTTTCCCCCAGATTTCTCAAATGTTGACATTTGCTTTATGCCTTCTCTCTCTCATATATAAACACACGTATATATGTGTATAAATGTATGTAATTATGTGCTTGAGAGTAAATCACAGTGATCCTTAGTGTAGTGTGCATTTCCTAGAAACAAGGACAATTCTTATGTAACCCCACAGTGCCATGAATCAAAAATCAGAAACTAACATTGATACAATGCTGTTAGCTAATCTGCAGCCCCTGTTCTCATTTGCCAATTGTCTATATAATGTTTTTATAGTAAAAGAAAGTCCCAGGTCGTGTGTTACATTCAGTTGTCATATCTTTTTAATCTGGAACAGTTGTTCATACTGTTTCCTGATACTGACATTTTTGAAGCTTATTCTGTAGTGTGTCCTTCTCTGGCTGTTTTTTTTTTGATCGAGTTGTATTTCATGTTTGAGTGCTTTATTTCCCCCAAAGTCTTGAGCTCCCTAATTATGAAAAAGGGAATGAGTACAATACCTAAGTGGAAGTGGGAGAGAGACACAGTAGCCAGATCTACTCTCCCGGGAACCCTGACAAAGCGGAGTGGACATGAGTGTGGCAGCTGGCTTGGAAGAATGCAGCTAGATTCCAGCCTGTCAGTCAAGCACCCTGTTAAAGGTGATGCAGGTGCTCTGTGTTGTTTCATAATCTCCCTCTGTTTTGTTATGTGTTCAAAGCTGTAGCCTAGTGACCAACAAAAGATGACGGTGTCTCTGGCATGTATATATTTCCCCTCCCACCACCATACACACACAGGCTTTTAAAATCTTATTTCATTGAGAACCCATTGGACTCTCTTTGCCTGTGCTATCACAACTGTGTCTAGTGTCTCGGTGATAGAGAACTCCTTTTCCTTAGTTCGCTTTCGCTCATAGCCGCTCTTGGGAAATGAGAGCACCGTGGCCAAGAGGGAGGCCTACAGAGTCACTGTCTAGATCGTAATCCTTCCCCCACCCTTCATTGTCAGCTATGGGACCTTGGGCAAAGGGTTCAACTAGGCTGAGTCCACTACATAGGAATTTTGTGTTTGTCACTAACTAAAAACAAAGTAATAAAGCTTCCATTTATTGAGTGCTTACTACATGCCAGTCAAGTGTTCTAAGTACTTTATAAAAGGTAACTGATTGTGACGTGTCTGTTGTTCCAGAACTACTTACATTCCTCAAATTCTTTAAGACAAGAAATAACACGTGTAATGCTAGTATTTCTGATTGCAATCTTTAATTTTTCTATCCAGCAGATGGACAGGTTAGCAAGTAGAGGTTTCCAATCAGTACTGGATCAGAGATCCGTTTTCTCCTTTGCTGATCCATCATTTCTTTCTTTAGGAGTGGTATGTGTTGGGTAGTTTTAGTGGCTCTGTGCTGATTTCAGATTCTAGATGTTGAGGAAATGGGAGTGGCAACAGGAAATGGGAGCCAGCAGCTGGGAAACAAGTTTGTAACTTGATGTCCGTGAACTGGTCTTCGCTCCTGGAAGACAAAATTACATGTAACTCATTGGAAGAGCAGGTGTCTCACCATTTTGTTTCATTTTTTTCCATTTGCAAGTGCATGATATACAGCTGTTCAGAGCTGTAGCACGCGTTGCATTTGGCAGTTATCTAGAAAGCATTTTATTTTTAAAGTATGACATGGGTGTTCAAAATTTGTAAGTGCCCTAAATGTAACTACCTAAAGATCTGACACATATGCTATATGAATCTGTGTTTAACTTAATCTTAAACGTTCTCAAGGGCAGGCCCCACTTTTATCTTGATTTCTTTTTTCTAATTTAGACACACTCTCTAACATTGTGTGCAAGATAGCGCAATAGCCACTCGATTAGCTGACGTTGTTTTAAGGTTTTATTTATTAACTTCAAAAGGAATCTCACTTCTGATTACTCTTGTGTATTTAAGCCAGTGAAGAAAAAGAAGATAAAACGAGAGGTTAAGATTCTGGAGAACCTTCGTGGTGGAACAAATATCATTAAGCTGATTGACACTGTGAAGGACCCTGTGGTAGGTGCCTGACGGGGGAGAAGGGGAAAGTGAGTGCATGTGTGCCTGTATGTGTGGTATGACACAGAATGTCAAAATAATGAGAAACATTACATAGTGGGAATGACTGTGTTCATCTTTACTACTGAGTAGTTTTGAAAACCACAAAAAATCATGGTGGCCCAAAGATGAAGTAGCCACCACCACTTTTATGGAACCTAAAAGTGTGTATAGAAAAATTCCTATCCCAAGTTTATTAGCTCGTTCTGATTCAGCCCACAAATGTTCGCTGAATGTCTTCTTTAAGCCCCAACTTTTCTTCCAGTTTTGAAAGCTTATTACCACCAATTAGCCTTATTTTGCTTCACTTAAGTAAGCCTGACATCTGAAAGTCTGGGCTTACAGAAGGAAATACCAAATATCTCCTATCTCCATGTGGACACCTGGCATAGAGATCACAGCCCACAGACCCTTTGAGGAAGGCATCTTGCTGTTTCTCATCCTAGGCCTTAACTCACTGTCTGTCCCTGGGGCTCGCATTATATATGCTGATACAACTAAACTGTTTTTGTTAAAAATGCTTACTTTGTAGCCATTTTAGATGTGCTCTTTAATTTTGTTTTCTCTTCTTGGGGAGTAAACTTTAAGTTTATGATTAGCTAAAGTTTTTATGTACCACCTCCCATCCCATTTCTGTTCTTCCTCTGTTCTACCTCACCTATTTTCCTATCCTCCCATGCTAGCGTTTCGTGTAAGAGGTGAGTCTTCGCTTCTGTCTGCTGAAGACATCATAAAGAAACGGTGTGCTAGCGAACATGCCGCTTACTGTGTGCTGGCACTGTTCCGGACTTCACACAGTCCTCAACAAGCCACTGGAGTAGGTGCTATTATTGGGCCACGTTGTTACATTGTACAGATAGGACAGCTGAAGGCTAGGGAGGTTCAGTAATTCGCTCAAGATCACACAGGATCATTAAACTGAAGAATAAGGAAAATTTTGTCTTTGGGACCCTAAAAAGACTGAGAAGAATGGTTGTATGCTAGATTCTAGCTAATTGGCATTAAAAATATATCCCGGCCTGAGGAGCTCAGATTGATTTTAGAATGACTAACTCTGGACTCCATCATCTTTGAAAACGGCCTGCAGTGTGAGCCAGTACATATTACTGTTGTACCAGTGGCCTCTGCATTTTGGCTTTTTTTTTAAGTTAATAGAACTCAGTGATACTTGTCTTACTGATACTGTAATGTGTTGTTTAAGGCATGTGTGTGTTTTATATAATATGGAACACAAGTAAATTAAAATTGGATGAAAACCAAGGGGAGAGCCCTCCTCCCCTAACTGGTAGGGAGATGGGCTCACTCCCAGGCAGTAGAGAGTTCTGGTGGTCTTGACGAAGCCCTGTACCCCTGTACCCTTCGGGCTAGTGAGGAACCCTTTGACCCCAGCGCTGCTGGGACTGCTGCTCGTTCGGACAAAGCCCCGTGTGCATGTACTGTACCCTGTTTCCTGGGTAACTTTCACCTGCTTCCTTGAGCAAAACTTCCCAGCCATAAAGTTTTCCAAGGTGATTTTCTTTCTATAACCCTTTAAGCCCCTGCTTTTCTCTTAATTTTGAAAGCTTATTACTGCTAATGAGCATTATTTTACCTTAAGTAAATCTGACATTTGAAAAATTTATACAAGGAAATATTAGACATTTGGTACTCATTGTATTAAATGAGTATGATTTTGGGGGGTGCAGGGAGACACATCTACCTTGTAAATTGAGACATTCTCTAGTGGTCTCTAGCCAAGGCAGTAATTTCACATTATAGCCTACTGATAATCATAGATATTTTCCTTTTGGATCCTGAAAAGGCCTATGATAGATTCCCAAGACAAATGATAATTCTGTAAAATGCATCTGACTCACTAAACCAAGATGAAAACATGTCACTCCTTTTGTGGTTGGCAGACTGGAACACTGCAGAGTATAATTCTTCACATCATGTGCCAGGCCCACAGACAGGTTGGTCAGAGAATACATCTCCTTTACAAAAAAAGAAGAAGAAGAAGAACCTTATGAAAAATGTCAACAATTTACGAAAGTAAAGTGAATAAGCTAACAAACCTCCCTGCGCACATCACTCAACTTTGGCAGTGCCGCAACCTCGTGGCCAACTTTGTTTCATCCCCCGGCCACCCCCTTTCCCACTGCCCACCATCCCCACTTATTTCGAAGCAAATTCCAGACACATAGTCTCAAGAGAATACTTTCTTAATAGGCTCTCCCCGATGAGTGAATCCCGTTTTCATTTAAGTGGTATTTGGGGATGGATCGGTACAACAGAAACAAAGCACGTTCATTGTTTGAATACTTATAAGGCATTACTATTCTCTCTTTCAGTCAAAGACCCCAGCTTTGGTATTTGAATATATCAATAATACAGATTTTAAGGTGCGTATATGCTTTTTCTTTCTGACATGGGGTTAATGGGGGATGGGCAGGTGGCGATAAGTACTGTGGATACTCCAGAACAAAAGGGGGCAGGAAAAGTCCTTGGTGAGAGTGGGAAGTAACAAATCGGATTCCTTACCACATGAGTATAGGATGCAGAAAGTGGGTAGGCTTCTTGTATTTGGTGAAATTACTCATCACCCTTTGCCTCGCTTACTCTGGGAATAGCTGCTGGGCTGGGTCTAAGCTAATGCCTCATCTATAACACTCCTGTTTTACACAACATTGTTTTAAGTAGATATTTGATTTGCATAGGAATCTTCCCTTGTTGATAGGAAGTGGTAAACGGATACAGGGCTCATGTGAAAAGAAGCAGGACATGGGATTCAAGCTGTCAGAGTGTGTGTGTTCACGAGCACTGTATACAAAGCAAATGACACAGAAAAGGTAGTTAAGTGTCGCTGTGCTTTAGAAAAGCCCTATCCTGGGTTATTTACATTTCTTGTAATGCATGTTAATTTTGACTTAATGTGTTCTTCTAAAAGCATGGTTTTAAGCTGGTTTTTTCATGAGTTTTTTTTTATTAGTAGTAGTTGAGACACTACAACCTTAACTTCTGGTAAGGTTTTTGGGGCCAGTTATTCTGGACATGGTAGAACGTAACATGAAAACCAATATAAGAACAAAATAGTGGTGTTGATTTTGAGGGGTATTTGGAGAGCTTTTAGGTTATTATAATACTCTGTCAATGAATCAAAGACTTGTGATTTTGTTGTGATGGAAGTTAGGGCCAAAATCACATCAGCAGTTGAAAAATGCTGGTATCAGGAGTGAAGCTTTTGGGTGAAAATAAAAGAGCTTTATCTACATTTAATTTTTCTTAGGTAATCACTCTAAAACAACTCTAAAATAGGGTTAATTAGTGGAAAATAAATAAACGTGGGGACTATAATTTATGAAACAAGCAAGTTTTATATACAGTGTAGCTTTTCCACGTGTAACAAGTTTCCTTGTTAGTGTAACTCCTTACAGGTGAAGTCAACAGTGAGCTCTTAACAGTAGGATGTAAATGTTTTCATCACCCTGATGGTGCTTAGCCAGTAGAGTTTTTTGTGATACACATGGTTGATCCCACTTTTGCTGTGAATGACCCAAGTTTATCAAGGTGTGTGCATTTCTTAGTGAAACCGAACATTTTCCTGAATACCAAAGTTTAAAAGCTGGTCTTAATGAAACTTCATATGAGATGCCTAAATTTTAAATGCTACTGCTTCCTTAATGAGTTTTTACCAGTTGTCTGGCCACACATATAAAATTTTCACTTCAGCATTTTGTGTTTCTTAAATTGACAGCTGCCCTGTGGATTTAACAGCATGCAGAAGATGGGTTAGCAGGAATTTTTAACTCCCTGGAGAAATCTTACTTCTTTTGCATCTTAACTCTCAAAAGGGTGTTTTAATGGCACACATTCTCTAGGAGCTTTCTTTAAAGACATCTTGGAAAATTTATGTTTTCTGAGGCTTGTGTATCTGAAAACATTTTTATTTTATCTTCCTAATTAATGGACTTGCCATGGCATAGAATTCTGGGTTGTAACTAATAATTTTCTCAGAATTTTGAAGAGCTTTTTCCATTATTACCACTGAAGCCATTCTGGTTTCACCTTATGTGATCTGGTTTGGGTTTTGGTTTTTTCTTTGGAAAGCTTTTAGGATTTTCTCTTCCGTTGCAGTCTGTGAAATTTCACAATGATGTTCCTTCGAATGGGTCACTTTTATCTTTTGTTCTGGACACTTGCTGGGCTTTTTCAATCTAGAAACTCATGTCCTTCCGTTTTAGAACAGTATTTTTGACGTTCTTTGATTTTCTTCCCTTCTTTGTTCTCACTTTCTAGAACTCATTCAAATGTTAGACTTCATGTCTTAGCTCTGTTCTGTTCTCAGAACTTTTAAAAGTAGTATCCTGTTCTTTTATGTAATATCTTCTATTCTCTCACTTAGAATGTGTGGGTTTTCTCCCCCCCCCCCGTGTTTTCTTCTTGTGGTCTTTTCTCAGTTTTTCTTTCAAATTCTTTTTTTTGTGTGTGTTCTTTTTGTCTCTGTTGCAATTGTCTGAAATGTCATGGTTTTTGACTGTCTACTCTTATGAGTTACGAAATTACTGATGACTGCTTGTCAGCTCCTTTCTGGAGGATGTGAGCCTGGCTGCGAGCCTCCCGGCCTCCAGCAGAGGAGCCCCGTGGGGAGTGTTAATGTGCGCTTTCACATAACTCCCCGTTTCCAGTGTGGTGTTTTAAACTTGTTTTCTTGTTTTCAGCTGAATCTGTTGACTCTCTTTCATTGATACCTGGGGTCGCCAGTTCTTTCGGGAGTTCTTCCATGTGCAGCTGTCTGCTTCTGGAGCCCTCTGCTCTTGGCAGAATTTGGTCTGTTATGTCAGTTGGACATTTTTATCTTGCTTCAAGATGTTGTCATCTCTTCCATTCTCTTAGTTATTGGGAGTGAATCCCCCAAGCCCTACTCCTTTTACTCTTACTTTAGAGGAGCTTCAAGAAGAAACAGGGTAGGATGTGTTTGGTCTGCGGTATCACACTGGAGGGCCCCCGTGAGCGGTCAAGCACGCCCTGCCATTTTAGTCAGCTTACAAGATTGTTAAATATCAGGTAGCCGATGTGTGTTTTGGAAGAGCAGATCATGACAGGACCGTCATTTTCTGCTCCAGGTAGTATGACAGGCCGCAAATAGGGAAGTCAGCTAGTTTAATGTCCTCATGAAGGCTTTTTATTTTGTCCTGTGTCTAATTAGAAAAGCTTCTTTTTATTTTTTTCATTTTACTGTTAAGTGTACCAGGAACTGGATTTAAGGTATCGCTCAGAGGAGGTTTGTCCCAGGTTTAGTATCAGGTGAATCAGCAGTGATACAACCCATGGCCTGTTCTTTTCAGAATTTTTTATGTATGTAATTGATCATAAATTTTTATCCATAATTTCCTTTTATTGTAGATTCCTGATTATCCTAACTTCTTAAAATAAGTTGAGCTCTTCCTTTCTATTTTCTGAAAGTTTATATGAAATAGGGATTATCTACTTGTCTTTTGGGAGAGAAGGGAGACTTTGGACTATACTTGCCTTTTCAGAATGTACATACATCTAAGTGAAAGGCTTATCCTGGTTTTTTGTCTCTTTGTGAGTTTGAATGATAACGATTTCTAAGGTCCACTTTCAATTTTATTTATATAAAGTTAATAGAATTTTCTTAGGGCTTAAAGACTAATATGTTTATAATTATGTTTTCATTTACATTTTCAACATTATTTGGGACTTTTCTCTCTTTTCAAAAAATTGCCAGTATTGCTAGAGGTCTCTTTTACTAATACTTTCAAAGAACCAGCTTTTGGTTTTATTGCTCAAATGTTTCCTTGTTTCTGCTCCTATCTTAATTATTTTCTTTCTTCCTCCCTTCTTTCTTCCTTAACTGTTTTCATTCTTGGGTTTTCATTGTTTTCCCCCTAACTTCTTGAGTGGAAGTCTGCTCATTTCATGTGTTCCTATCTTTCTTGATTGGTGGTAAGTGGGCTTTAAGTCTGTGCAACATCAAGCAGCGCCTTAGCTACATTCCTTGGTTATGGAACTCACTCCTGTATCGTTTTCAAATTAGAAGTACAAATTCCAGGGGTGCCTGGGTCGCTTAGTCGGTTGAGCGCTAGTCTCTTGGTTTTAGCTCAGGTCGTGATCTCAGGGTCATGGGATGGAGCCCTGTGTCACGCTCAGCGCTCAGCTCAGAGTCTGCTCATCTTTACCCTCCCTCTCTGCCTCCTCTCCTGCTCCTCCCCTGCGCGCACTCTCTCTCTCAAATAAATAAATAAAATCTTTATTTTAAAAAAGAAGAAGTACAAATTCCAAACTCGTGGATTTGGGTTTTTCTCCCCCGACTTTGTACTTTGCAATATTTTATTTATTTTTTTAAAGATTTTATTTATTTGACAGAGAGACACAGTGAGAGAGAGGGAACACAAGCAGGGGGAGTGGGAGAGGGAGAAGCAGGCTCCCCGCTGAGCAGGGAGCCTGATGCGGGACTTGATCCCAGGACCCTGGGATCGTGACCTGAGCCAAAGGCAGACGCGTAATGACTGAGCCACCCAGGCCCCCCTGTACTTTGAAATATTTTAAACCTACTGAAAATCGGAAGGAGTAGCACAATTAATACCCTCATGTTTTTCCCCTAGATTTACCAGTTGCTAATAATTACCACATTGGCTATTCGTTCTTGTCCCATCCCCACCCTCCCGTCATTATCTCTTGTCTTTTTGTTGAAATCATCTCAAAGTAAGTTGTACGCATCAGTGATACTTCACTCCTAAATATACGTGTGCTGGAGCTAGATAGGACCTTTTCCTACCTGCCAGTACTGTTATAGCACACTGAAGACACTGAATACTTCTGCGATAATGCCATCTGATACACAGTACGGAGTCCATATTCAAGAGTTTCCTGGTAATTATTGTCCTAGGAATGTCCCATAGCTGTATGTTCGTGAATAATGTGGAGGAGCCACGTGGTTTTTCAACAAAAATATTCTTTTATTGTTGATTCCTAATGTGTCTGCACTGTGTCCAGAGGAACATGACCCATATAATGTTGGTTCTTTGGACTTTGTTGACAGTTGCTTTGTGACTCTAGTGCATGGCCATTTTTTATATCAAGCTTGTTAATTTAGTTCAGATCTTCTATGGCCTTACTCATTTTTCCCCTTGATAACTTCATTTTATGGTGGAGGTACTGGTTTGGTCGATTTCTCCTTGAAATCATCAGTTACGCTTTGTATATGTCAAAGAGATCATAAAAGATACATCATGACACTTAGAAAAAAAGACAAAACTTCCAAAGGAGTAGGAAAAGCCAGTCTCTAATAGTTGAAATGAACAGTTACAGAAGACTCTCAAACTTGACATTTTCTCAAGGAAGCTAAAGTACAGTTTGTGGCAGTTCTCTATGCTTTTGGAAGAATATAAATAAAAATAAATATACATTCTAAGCAAAATATATCATCTGGACATTTTAAAGATTGGTAAGGCGTCCTGAATAGACTCCGTTTGAGAAGAAAGTAGGCCCATATTGCTCTGTGGTGAATTTCTAAATCACTTCCATAGAGGTGGGCCTTGACTAGCTGATGTCTTGAGGCCTTGTTAATGCTGTTAGTATTTTGATGTGGAGAGGATCTTCTTTATAAGACATGTTCAAGTGATTAGTAATAACTTTGATTTGCTTGATTAGTGATTTGTTCTGCTTCCTTAAATTTCTAAAAATACTGACCTTGGTTTTATTCTGGATCTTGGGGTTACATGTTAATGCCAATACTGGTGAGACTGCCTTAAGCACCTTTCACTTTATATCCCACTCCCCCTGGCTTTTTTCTTCTCCCTACGTGGGGACCACTGGGATTTCTGGACACAGACTGAGCTGTGTGGGTGAGGGAATGTGCAAGCTCTGTGTGCAGGGTGAGAGTTTGCTGTGTCGGTGATTCCCACATGTGGCTGGGAACCTTCTTGAGCTCTGTAGTCCTCCTGAATGACAGTCCTCGGGGATGGGGCTTTGGAACCTATAGCTGATTGTGATGCAGCTGAAGTACACCCACAGTCTCCGAGGACCGATGTGCATACAGCAAGAATGAGGCCCACATGGGCATACAGTGAGAGTGAGGCCATTCCAATCTGAGTGGTGGTTTTAGACCAAGGAGGTTCTGAGGCTGTTGACCAAATTGCCTTTTTTCCATTGTCCTCCTCAAAGTTTCTGAGGTTAATAAAAAGTCCCAGGATATTTCCACCTTGGGTCTTTTGAGCCATCCTGGAGTAGGCCTGATTTCTAAGAAAATGCCAGTGTGTTTGAGGCTTTGGAACCAGACTAGGATGGGTGAATAGTTTCTTCCTCAGCACCTTTGTAATCTTCTGGGAAGCATAGGCTTGTTTTGCTTTTGATAAGTCACTTCATGAAAATATAAACAAAGCTAACTTCCTGCCAACACTTTGCAGTTGGTTGGTTAACAATGTTCTACACATAGCTGGCCAAGAAGAATGGAGGAAAAGTGTGGTTCTTGTGAAATTTCCCTTTATAACTTGTCACGGACTCTTCACACTTGTGTTTCCTGGAAGACAGTTTTAATTTTGTTCCATTGACTGGTGAACATTATCAAAAACAAATATTTAGCGATTGCCTTCTGGGTACAAGCTGAGAACCACCATTGACGGTGTGGGGTATATACCGCGTATGCTACTCCTCTGTTGTGTTATCCGAGCACTTAGAATATGGACCAGATTGTATGGTGGCCCCTTGCATACTTGGGGGTAGGAAAGCAAAGATCTTGAGTCAACAAGTTGGTGACTACCACCAGCCACAGCACCCATTTTTCCCCATTGTGTGTGTGCCTGATCCGTGGGGACGCTGACATGGGACTTGGAGTACGGGCAGAGTGGAGCAGCCTCTTGTTGCTCACAGCCGAGTGAGGTTATCTTGAGAACCTCAGGTCACTGCCAGTACCTGAGTGGGGAACATTAACTCTGGGGACATGGTTGCTGTCCATGTCCTCTGAACACCCCAGAGGACAATAAATAGCCAGGGGGTTCAGAGAAGGAAGGGGCCACTGTCAGCTCTCTTGACTTACAGCCTAAGGGAGAGGGTCAGGGTCTTCTAGACTTGGGGGGAGGTGGGGACACTGGCGAAGGAAGAATGGGGAGGCCGGGCAAGCAGGTTTGTTGGCGTTAGGGACCCCCCAGGGCGGCAATGGAGACAGAGTGCAAAAGTCGTAAGAAGCCAGACTGTGGACCCTGGTGAGTCCTGAACTTTAGGCCCAGGTGGTAAAATGTTACACATGTAGTTTGGTCTCCTCCTACCCAGAGGTCCTGAGAAATGAGAGTGAATGTCAGCCTGTCATTTGGTACTTCATAAATTATTAGGCCTAACCACTGTATTCATTTAGTGTTTTATATTACATAAAAATTGATATTGGCTGGAGTAGCTAGAAATATTATATTGGCAGGCCAAGGACATTTATTGTTATGCCTTAACACCAACCATTTACAGAGATGCTTGATATAGATACCACATGATAGGAGATAAAAGTCCAAATGGTAAAATAGCCCATACTTATTCTCTGGAAATAAAATAATCCAACCCTCTGAGGGTTAGAAAATGCTGGCTTCGCTTTCATGGCCTGTTTATTGACTTGAGGTTCAACCTGGCACAGTCTCTGGGAGCGATCTTCATTCTCAGAGGAAGAGCTGATTTGACACCCAAAGAGATGGTATCTTCAGCCGCTGTCTGTACATACGGGTTGTTGGGATGCTGGCTGAGAAGTCTTCCTTGCTGTTCAGAGCTGGAGGAGAACAGAACACTTGGGTGTTTGGCTGTTACGCAGTCGAGTCCCTCCTGAGCAGAAGCGGTGGTGTGTTTGTGCTGTTGTTCCTGAGTGTAGTTCCTTCCCAGCCCAGGCACCACCAGTAGACTGGTCTGTATGGTCTCATTCCCTCTGCTGCCCTGAGCTGGCTTGTGCCTGAGGCTGATGAAGGCAAGTATTTTTACTAAGCTAGAGGAAGAACTACTTTTATTCAGCAGAGGAAATTTGAGAAAGAAGCTCAATCCTGGTGTCCTTGGAAGATGTTAAATTTGATTCTTGGCAAATTGTTTTATCTTTTTGAACAGGTAATGTATTTACATGGATCTAAAATATAAAATGATATGCAATGAAAAATCTCCTTTATTTCCCTGTACTCTGGCTGTCCATCCCCCACACACATATATATGAAGCCAGGTTTCATGTTTTTTGTATCATTCTTACAACTACAAACAAACAAGGCTGTGTAGTTTTGCGCCCCCCTCGCACAGATACATTGTATAGCCCGGTCAATGCTCCTTAGAGAGCTCTCCTCTGTTGCCAGTCTTCCAATAAAGAAACAAAGCGTGTTTAATAAAGTTGTGCTGACTAATTTTATAGAAAGTGCTGCTTTGGACTAATGGGGAAACAGATCTACTTGGAATTGAATTCCAAAAATAATAGTATAATTTCTGATGAAGGTTTGTGATGATTTTAATGAACCTGCATGTATTAAGGCTACTCTGCCTCTTAGAAATGGAAATTTAAAAAAAACCTCCCAGTGGGTGTGTCTTTGTCCCAGTATGAGAACTCTTTGTCCTTTTGGCCTGGAAACATTTTCAGTCCCTGGCTCCCTTTTTTTCTCTCTCTCACTCCCCTACTCCTTTCTTAAGTCTCTTACCATCTCCTAGAGCTGGAGCAGTCACTTTCTTCCTAGAGTTTCTTTTACGAGCAGACAGACTGTGTTGACACTTTTTACCACATGGGCCTTTGAAGTTCTTCAAGTTTTGCTCTCCACTCAGAACTCAGTTCTCTAACGGACATTGTGCTGCTTCAGTGGGGTTAGTTTGTTTAAGTATAGTGAGAATATGAGGACAATTGGACAACTTGGACTTCATCTCCATAATAATGTAATTTGGGGAGTTGAAATCATGGAGCACTGAACACGTTTTTAAAAGATCCACGTTGAATCCACATTTCTCTCCCTGGGAATTCCGCCCCCCCGCCCCGGCCCCAACAAAGACAAAAGTATTACACCCTCGTCCTTGGTCTTTGTCCCCATTTGTTGCAGATCAGGGTAAAAAAAAAAAGTCCTGGGGTTCTTTAGTGACTTAAGCTGTAAGTTTACAGAGAATGATGACCAGTATTTGGGATGACAAGATGTGATGAGACTATATTAACTTTCTCTTTTCTGAAATCTGTTACAGCAACTTTACCAGATCCTGACAGACTTCGATATCCGGTTTTATATGTATGAGCTACTTAAGGTAAGTGGCATGCATAAGCAGTGAATTTTTTCAGGTGTATTCATTAAAGAGGTTTTTGAGAGGATGAAGGGAACTCAGGCACTCTTTCTTGATACTTAGAGAATTTAGTGAGATTTGTTTTGTTTTTGTTCTTGTTTTTAATTTTTTTTAAAGTAGGCTCCACGCCCAACATGGGGCTTGAAATCACGACCCTGAGATCTAGAGTCACATCATCTACTGACTGAGCCAGCCAGGCACCCCAAGGGGTTTTTTTTTGTTTTGTTTTAACTTACATTGAGATCTCTGTTGTGGGATCTTTACATAGAAACTTTCCAGAGGAACTGAGAAAGATGGCCAAGTCAAGAGATACCAGGAGCATTATGTCAGAAATCAGAAGCTCCTCCTTCATAGCTCTTGTTGGCCCTTGGGTTTTCTTTTTGCTGCTTATTAATTAATACTATTAGTTTTCACTGTATAACACATCACCCAGAACTTAACAATTTTTTAAAAAATTATTATTTCTCCTAATTTTGTGGGTGAGTCTTTTTTGTGGGTCAGCTTGCCTGGGGCACATTGTTCCAGGATGGCCTCATTCACATGTCTGGGATGGCAGCTGGAATAGCTGAAGGCTCGTTCTGCAGGGGGCAGTCTAAGTTGCTTCTTCCCATGGTGGTCTTAGGGTTCCTAGTAGCACAAGAGGGCAAAGTTTGATATGTAAGCACTTTTCAGTCCTCTGCTTGTATCATTGTTTCCTAATGCCCTGTTGGCCAAAGCAAATCCTGGCCAAGCCTAGATTCAAGGAGGGGGGAAGTAGACTTCACCTTTTGATGGGCAGAGTGTTAAAATGACAGTGGGGAGGGACATGCCTACTGGGAGGGCAGGAATTTGTGGCCATCTTTCTCTCGCTGTCACTCATAATCCCCTTCCCAGCCTAGCCTCCAGCCCTGACTGACCTAGACACGAAGGGAGGGGCGATGGGTGGTCCTTCTAGCAGACTTAGTAATCTCCTAAGACAGAAATTTGGAAGCATTATTGGTTGATGGAGGAATGATCTTTTTTAGTTTGTCTAGGTAAGCACTTAAAGAGTTCTAAAATGGCTTATAAAATGGAATAGCTCCTATTTAGTGGCTCCTAATTTGTTTGGAGTCATGGATCACTAAGAATCTAATGAGAACATATAAACTCCCCCCCCATGCATATATAAATATACGGTATTACATAAAGTTTTATGGGGGGTGTGGCTCTCAAGTTAAGAACCTCTGAAAGACAGAGATGACTAAGTTATTGGCATTATTGAAGAAAATTGCCAAGATGGAGTTTTGATGGGATTGTGAACAGGTACTTGAACAAAATCCCAAGTTTAATTAAGGCTAAGCTTTAGGGAATGGGGGTTTGAAGAACTAGCTCTGTGAGGTAAATGTGTTTTCTTAGAAGTGCTTATACAAACCACTTGTCATTAGTACCAAGGTGGCGTATTTAAGAGTCCACTCTTAAAACTAATGGGTCTTTCCTTTGTCAGTAAGTTCAGAAACGTGAAGGTAGAGCTTGGTTCATCACACCTTTCTTTTTTTAAAGATTTTATTTATTTGAGAGAGAGAATGAGAGAGAGAGAGCACATGGCGGGGGGGGGGGGCAGTCAGAGGGAGAAGCAGGCTCCGCACTGAGCAGGGAGCCTGATGCAGGACTCGATCCTGGGACTCCAGAATCATGACCTGAGCCGAAGGCAGTCGCTTAACCAACTGAGCCACCCAGGCGCCCCTCATCACACCTTTCTGCATGTCCTCTCCAGACCAGAATGGAAGGTGTCAGTGGGGAAGGGGTTTGCAGTGTTGTGGTCTTACAAGCTGTCCAGCTAGCTCCTTCCCTGCGGGTGCTTTCCGGAGAACCCCCTGCATCCACCCAATGAGAGCTGCAATCCAAATCTCACAATTTTTTTTTTTTTTTTTTTTTTTTATATTTGAGAGAGGTTGGGCATCTTTTCATATACTTTCAAATTTTTTTTTTTTTTTTTTTTTTTTTTAAGTAAGGTGTTAAGATTTTGTGGTTTTCACTTAGCACACCAAAGATGAAGATTGATAACCTGGCACAGTTGTGCTTAGGTCAGGTGAAGACATTCCGATAATTCAGGTCTTCACAGGCTGGTCATTCAGACAGTACTGTGTGTCTCATAACCCTTCTGCTTTTTGGAGGTAGCGGCTAGGCAGTAAGGGCCTTCTTTCTGCTAATGAGGCACAGAACCCCAGACGAAGCTTGAAAAATGTCTTTCATGCTTAACGGTCAGATAATACCAGATTTTGAAACTGAAATAACTCCCCTAAGGAATTTAAAACCATGTCCGTGACTCCACAGGGAGTCCGACTAGTGAGCTTGGCAAAAGAATCGGTTCGCTTACTGTACTTGTTCAGCCTCTGCTCTCCTCAACTGTTTCTCACATCCCAGGTATTATGGTCCTAATTAGTTCATTCCTTTGGGCAAAGACTAGGCAAAATAACAGAATCAACACTTACTAAATTTTCTCTTTGGCGGGGAACAAAATGGGGATGAGGAAGAGGAAATCTGCTTCACGGAAAATGTAGAAGAAATTGAGGTGAGGGCTGTTGAGTGGTTCCTGGGTACACAGTGCGGTCTCCTGATTCAGATCTGGGGAGGTCTGTCCTCAGGAGCCCTGGTTTCATAAGGCACTGCCACAAAGCTATTGTGGAATCTTGCTACACCTATTGTTGTGAAACAAAACAAAGAGAAAAATCAAATTGAAGTAGAACTTCCATAAATGAATAAACCTTTTTTTTTTAGGATTTTATTTATTTATTTGACAGAGAGAGAGGGAACACAAGCAGGGGGAGTGGGAGAGGGAGAAGCAGGCTTCCCGCTGAGCAGGGAGCCTGATGCGGGGCTCGATCCCAGGACCCTGGAATCATGACCTGAGCGGAAGGCAGGCACTTAACGACTGAGCCACCCAGGTGCCCCCATAAATGAATAAATCTTAAGTGTACAGGTTTTTGGGTTTTTACGTAAGTGAAACCTTCACCAAGATTTATATATTACTGTGCTGCTGCCCAGTACAGTAGCTGTTGCCCACAGGTAGCTATTTAAATTTTAATTTAAAATTATGTTCCTTAATCACAGTAGCCACATTTCAAGTGTTCAGTGGCCTCATGTGGCTAGTGGCTACCACATTAGACAGTGCAGATATAGAATATTCCTGTCATTGCAGAAAGTTCTGTTGGACAGGGCTGGTAGAGAATATTATGAATACCCCAGAAGGCTCTCTTCTCTTCAGGATCCCTTTTTCTGAAGATAAGTCTTCTCACTCCTACCACCATAGTTTAGTTTTGGGTGTTTTTTAACCTTCATATATAAAGCATCATACGCTGTCTTCTTTTTTGTGTCTGGGGAGAGCAAAATTTGTTTATTCTTGGAATGCTGATCCTGGGGATCATTCTCTGACCTAGTCCAGTGGTTCTCAACCAGGTCAATTTGGCAAAATCTGGAACCATTTGTGGTTGTCACAATTGGGGAAGAGTGCTACTGGCATCTGGTGGGAAGAAGCCAGGGATTCCGTTAAACATCCTGCAGTGTATAGGACAGCTCCCCACAACAAAGAATTATCCAAAGTCCAAAATGTCAGCAGTGCCAAGGTGGAAAAACCTTATCTTGTCCTGTGGAAAACTCCCCTAAAAGCACTCCGTGCCAAGCACATAGTAGGAAGCACAAGATGGTGGGTTGCTGTGATTATTATTACCGAAGGAGTAAATCATGGCACTCAGATAGGCTGCAGTGCTTTTTAAGACAAGCCAGAGGTCCTAATTTGAAATGTATGGGAATAGTTACTATGTTCAGAAAGGGAGAATTAGAAGCAAGTTTTTGTATTATCTAAAACAAACCACCCAAAGAAAAAATGGTAAAAAAAAAAAAAAAAAAGATAAAAATGGTAAAAAAGATTTGAATCAGTATTTGTCCAAAGAGGATACAGGATGATCACTAACACCCAAAAAGATGTCAACTTGATGACCCAATTAGGAAATACAATTCAAATCCACAGTGAGGTCCCACTTCAGACCCACCAGAACGGCGATAATCCCAAGGGTGAACCAGTTACAAGTTGTTGGCGAGAACGTGGCGAAACTGGAACCTTCCTACGTGACTGCTGGGGATGTAAAATGGAGCAGGCAGTTTGGAAAACAATTAGGCAGACTCTTAAAAAGTTTGACATAGACAGCTCAGCACTTCCACCCTTAAGAATCTGTGTAAGAGAAATGAAAGCCTGGGTCCTCTCAGAGACCTGTATGTGAATATTCCTAAGCAGCTTTATTCATGATAGCCCCAAACTGGAAACAACCCAGATGTCCATCAACTAGTACAGCCTTACAGTGGAATACTACTCAGCAAGAAAAAGGGAACACAGATGAATCTCGGCAACATTATGCTGAGGGAAAGAATACTGTATATTGTATTATTTCATTTTATGAATGCCCAGAAAAGGCAGATCGGTAGTAACAGCAGGTTTGTGGTTATGGCTGAGGTAGGGGGCAAGGGGGGATGGGGATTGATCATAGGCAAGCTGAAGGGGAATTCTTGGGATGGTGGCAGAGTTCCAAGACTGGACTGTGGTGCTGGTCACACAACTCTGTGAATGTCCTAAAAGAAATCATTCACTTGTACGCTTAAAATCTTATCTGCATATCATTTATCTTGTAAGAAGCAATATCTTCCCTTAGAGTAAAAATAGAATTCTTAAAGGCCCCTGGCTCAGGGGTTGTTTTTAAAAGAAAATACTAATACTAATACTAGAATACTTGGTAATCTCGAAGGTCCGGACACATGGGGGACTGGGCTAAAAGACAAGCCACGTTGAATGACACGTTGTGATGTCATTGTTCATCCCCACAGGGACTCTTGTGTGCCATTTGAACCATGGTGAGAGGGACTCTAGTGAGTGTCCCAGATCTAGTTTTAAACCCATCGAGTTAGACCAACAGATTAATGTAGGATTTCTAAATCCAGGTGGCTGGTGAAGTGTTACCTACTAACACCTAAGTAGGAAGAATCTCCGTGTCCCCTCCCTAACATAGCCCCCTTTCCACCAGCTGCCAGCCTAGTATGCACAGAGAGCAAGGGGGGCCTTCTGAAGCATGTCTGTTCTCCTCTGTTACAGACAGTAAGCTGACCCTTGGGAGACTGTATCCAAGTCAAGCTGTCACAAATAATAGGAATATGCTTGCATTGGGGGTTGGTAGATGGTTTGCTTACTTTTCTCTGTGCTTTCTTATCTCATAGGCTCTGGATTACTGCCACAGCAAGGGAATCATGCACAGGGATGTGAAACCTCACAATGTCATGATAGATCACCAGCAGAAGAAGGTACCATTGCAGCCAGGAAGCAACAAGGCTTTCCGTGGGAGGCCTAGAGCAGACCACAACACTGGCCAGTACCTAGGTGGTACTGCAGACTTGTGTTACTGTTACCTCTTCAGCCTTCAGTGTTGCTTTCTACTTTGCATAAGCATGGTACAAAAGGAAAGTAGACAGCCTAGCCTCACTGTAGTCCCTTGTTTATTTTGGTCATGGTTTTCCAGAGGGCCTCGCAAAGAAACTCCAGCTGATGGTTTCTCCTTCTTTTAATGACCCTCAGACCAATCAATCTGCCTGGGCTTAAAAGTACACTTGGGTCCCTCCTGTTTTTGATATCCAATTCTGGTTGTCCCTGGTTGGTGAGTAAACAAATCAGCTACTAGGAGGTGAACAAAAAGCTGGAGCAGTGCTTCAATGCTGGACTGGGGCCTGCGTCCCCAACCCTTTCAGTTGTGGCTAGAGCTTATAATGGAGACTGTTAATGACGGGGGAGTGTGCTACACACGCCAGTGATATGGACGCAGAGTGAAAAGCTTAAGCTTGATTGATCTGAAGAGGATGATAAGCCAGGATCATTTAAATTTTAAAAAAAGAAAAAGCACATAAGATTCTGAGTGCTCTGCGCTCGAAGTGACCTCTTCCACAGTTGCTGAAAGTGTAATTTTTGCCAGTGCACTTGCTAACATTTTTCATGTGGCCCACGTAGTTGTTAGCTAATGTGATGTGGCCTTGTTCTAAGGCACGGGCATCTAGAATCACTCCTTTACGTGTTCAATTTCTGTCATGTTTGTAGCTGCGACTGATAGACTGGGGTCTGGCAGAGTTCTACCATCCTGCTCAGGAGTACAATGTCCGTGTAGCCTCGAGGTACTTCAAGGGCCCAGAGCTCCTTGTGGACTATCAGGTAAAACTCTTAGCCAAGCACCTCCGCCTTCTTTGTGTGTTTCCTTAGGGCTTCTCCTCGTTTGCTATTTAGTCAGTCAGTTTGGATATATTCAAAACCCCAGCCCAAAACGATAATTTCAGACTTTTCTCCGTGACTTTTTTTTTATTCCTTTGAATTCTAAAATATGTGCAAAGGTCAGCTGAAGACTAGAAATCCAGATCAGAGAAACGCGTTTGTAATACCCTTCATTGAACTGACAGGCTGACCTTATTTCCCCAGATGTATGATTACAGCTTGGACATGTGGAGTTTGGGCTGTATGTTAGCAAGCATGATCTTTCGAAAGGAGCCCTTCTTTCATGGACAGGACAACTATGACCAGGTGAGCAAACACTGACTGGCTCTTCCCCCGTGAGGGGGCAGATGCCAAGAAAATGGAGTCCTATGACAGGGATGCTATCCTCGAGCCACTAAATATCACTCAGCATCTGCACAGAAGTTTTCCTTCAGGATAAAGAGTTTCATGACATTTTGTCTGTGGTTACCAGCCCCCCAAACGTAGAGAAAGATAAAGCTCTCTTATGCCCAACTTCAGAGTGAGTCTGTGAAGAAGTCAGGCAGTCCTTGTCTAACAAAACCAGACTGTAGTCATTAAATTGTGATACCCCCACAATTGGTCAACTTCTAGGAGATTATTGTTGTAAGTTGTTACCATTTTAAAGGCAGCTTGGAAATTGGATTTCTGTGAACATCGTGTCCTGGGGTCTGCCGTGTCCTGGGGTCTGCCGCCTGTCGGCCCCAGGCTCCAGCCTACATCTGGTCCCTTAGGACTCAGTGATGTGGAAGTCCCCAATGCCTTGGGATAGCATCCTCACAGGCTTGCAGTGAGCTCTGTGCTCAGTGATTTGGTCAGTTTGTTTTGTGTTTCAGCTTGTTCGCATTGCCAAGGTTCTGGGTACAGATGAGCTGTATGGGTATCTGAAGAAGTATCACATAGACCTAGATCCACACTTCAACGATATCCTGGGACAGTAAGTAAGAGAGAGGGAGAGAGAACAAGGGTTTTAACGTACCCCAGTTCAGAAGTGGGACTGTTCACCAAAATCGCTTGCTAATCATAGCAAAATTGAAGTCTCCTCCTTTCTTCCCGTATTTTTTTTTTAACTTGCTTTGAGGTATTTGGGAATTGTTTACATGTGTCTTCTGATCATTGTACTTCTCTAAGAGATTACCTCTCAGTCAGTAGAAGATGGAAGACAAAATCCTGTTACAGAAAAAAGCTTTCTGATACAGCATATGCTTATTTTAGTGGAAAATCTTAGAAAGCTGTGATTCTTTTTTGATTAAGAGATTTATAGTTTTTTCTTCTGTGTAATGTATTTTCTACAAGGTAGCAAATTTTAAAGCATATTTGCAGGTACAGTGCAATAGTGTTGAAAAGTAAATGCGCTGACAATTTTCAAACAGTGTTTTATAGAGCTTGTATGTTTCTGAGGCTAGCTCTCTAAATATTTCTGCTGAACAACAAAAATAACTCTGTCCCCTCTGTGCCTCGCCAGAATGGACTAAAAGCCTGAGGCATAAGAAATGATCTAAGAAGGTGCCACCAATTCTAAATCAGATGTGGAAGTTTTCACTCTTATTTATCAGAGAGCACGGTTTTTGTTTCAGGATGCTGCGAGTGGCTCTCTGGGGGTGGGGCAGATACCAGTGAGAAGGAGATTTAACGAGCTTGAAATCAGCGCAGTCAGTATTCTAAGATTTTGTTGCTTTTAGCCCTAGTAACATCAGGATTCTTGTTGAATAGACTCTCGGTACTAATGCTTCCCTTTCCTACTCAGACATTCACGGAAACGCTGGGAAAACTTTATCCACAGTGAGAACAGACACCTCGTCAGCCCCGAGGCTCTAGATCTTCTGGACAAACTTCTGCGATACGACCATCAACAGAGACTGACTGCCAAAGAGGCCATGGAGCACCCGTACTTCTGTGAGTCTCCAGGGGTGTAATTTATTAAAGGAAAAATTCTTCTTTATCTTTGAGGCCAGTCAAGAGAATTCTAGGTATTTGGATTGACTCTTCCTTGGAATTTGGCCTCATTAGTTCTAGACTGTTGAGACAGCTTTGCAGTTCCGTTTCTTGATCTGCAGAGGTGTTTGTCCAGTGCCTTAGCTCCGCTTGAGTCTGGTCTGCGGACCCATTCCCTGTGGCCCTGAGTTGATAGACCACAAGTACCTAAACATTGTTTTCAAATATATACACCTGTGTGGAAACCTAATCAAAGATACTTTCCCCTCAGAAAACTAGTTAAAAGTAATGAGGTGACCGTAGTATATTTTTAAAGAAGGAAATGGGTTAAATAAAAGGAACCTGATGAAAGCCGGTGTGGAAAGACCCCACTAGGGCTCCTGGGTGGTTCAGTTAGTTAAGCGTCTGCCTTTGGCTCAGTGACGTCATGATCCTGGAGTCCTGGGATCGAGTCCTGCATCGGGCTCCCTGCTCAGCAGGGAGTCTGCTTCTCCCTCTGCCCCCCCCCACGTTCTCTCTCATTCTCTCTCTCAAATAAATAAATAAATAAATAAAAGACCCCACTAAAATCCTACCTCAAAGAATTTTTAGGTGTCACTTCCAAGTGCGTGTGTGTATTCAATGCCTGTGGTTGCATATTGTCTGCATGTGTACAGCCCTTCCCCCCAATAAAGTATGTCTCAAATAAACTTTCCCCTTAATCCTGGCACCGTAAGATGACTCAGTCCAGGCACAGAGGAGACTGGGGATAAAGGTTACGGGACCCGTCTCAGCTCACTCTCTGAATGGAGAAGAAAACCTTCAGCCTGTCTGTTGGCTTGGCCAGTATGCGGTCTTCCTATCTTTTTTTTCCCTCTGAAGATTAAGCAGATCTTACCCGAATAATATAAATCTTGAACCTGCTGGTCCATAAACATTAGCAGACAACAAATTGGAAAGGTTTTACCCTTTGGCCTTCTAGACCTCGGACAAGTGCACCTCAGGGGTCCTCTTTCCAATTTCTGGCACCAGAAGCTATTTTTACCCTTTGAGTTAGATCCAATTAAGAATTCTGGTGTTTGTAATATGTAATTCATGATCCGTCCACTTTTCTGAATACGCATCTTCTGTATTAAAAAAAAAAAGTGTTTCAAATGACTGTCGCTTAAAATTGATAGGTCTTCTAATGGCCCTTTTCATTCCTTTGCTCCAAAGTGCTCATTACTGCACGTGGTTTGAAGAAATTGGGGGTTGGATCTGACATTAGCATTCAAGGAAAATAACACATAAGAAGATTAGTAGTGATTTTGAACAGTGGGAAGTCAGTGTTTGTGGGCCTCTCTTCTCCAGGAGTCTCCGTAGTTGAACTTGCCCTCTGAGGGAAGTGCAGGAGCTGACTAGAAGAGCAGATTCCCCTGATTATTTTTCAGTGTCTGATTTTTCTCTCACCTTAGTTCTGTAATTTCTCTTGTCCTTCTGACCCTGGCTTTCTCGTCAGTCTGTCCATCTCGCTGTATCCCACTGCGGAGGGGGGTTTTTCATGATGGTGTCTCCCACACCTTCCAGCCCAGATTCGCCTGACTTCCATCCTGTTCTCTTGCAGACCCCGTGGTGAAGGAGCAGTCCCAGCCCTCTGCAGACAATGCTGTGCTTTCCAGTGGCCTCACGGCAGCCCGGTGAACACTTGGAAGACGACGGGTAATGCGGCATTGATGCTTGCCAATAAATCCAACCAACCAAACACAAATCTGGAAGGAAAACTACAATGTGATAAAAAGAAATTCTAGTCATTCCTTCTAAATGCAAAGAAGAGTAAAGACCTAACTGTCTGTCAAAAAGCAAGAAATCCCCCAGTACTAGTCTGCAGGGAGCTGCCGCTGCGGCAGCGTGACGATGCACATAGTTCAGGACCTGAGGGAACGCTCCCTTTGGAATGCATGGGAGATGAGAGACTCGGAGTTGTTGTACATTTACCTTTATTTAACAGGAGACCACTGTTGAATTAACCCGTTCAGTCAACAAGCTCTGAATATCTGACTTCCTATCTATTCCACTGTGGTCTGAGTTTCCTTTGGTGAGATTCAGGCTCAAGTTTTAGCAAAACGTCAGCAGTCTATACTGACACACCAGCCTCATTTACGAAAAGGAGATATTAAAACAGTGACAGTATTTTTTTTTTAAGCTCTTTTACAAATTCATGTTTTATGTATTTTTTTATGACATGAGCTCTCTAGGAAATGTACCTCATCCCTGCAGTTTTCTTCTGAGTGTATTCATTTGGGAGCAAACTGCAGTCACTCACAAGAGGCCCCTTTTGCCGTCAGCAGGCATCACTTGAAACCTTGTGACGCCGTGAACAGGTCCATCTGTCTCCTCAGAAGTTTGATGCGAAGTGCATAACTTGGAGCTCACTGTAACCTTTGTTGATTTGCCTAACCATAAAATCTTGTTGCTATTTTTTCCGTGTAGCCTTTTTTTTCCTTTTGCAGCCTTGTAAGGAAAACCTCACCATATCCCAGCACATACATCCCAGTGTGTGTGCCTGTTTTCGTGCACCTCTCTGAAACAGAGGCTTTTTGGTCACAACCATAATGAAAGCTGGAAAGTCGGTCTTCAGGCAGGTTGGGGAATGAGAGAAACATCTTATTAGAATGTATTTAGGAATGACCTATTGGGTGAGAAAAATGTACTCCCACCCCCCCACCACCACCCTTTTTTGCCTTTTTTTATCCCCACGGGAAGCAATTTCCCTCTGTAATCAGGGTAAGCTGCATTTTGACACTCCCGAGAGGTCATGTGTGAACGTGATGGCAGAGCTGTCCTTCTCATGTGCAGGGACTGGAGTCATGTGTGCAGGGCCAGCCTGTTCCCCAACGACTGAGCAGATCATTATATGAGGGGCCTGGGGGGTTAGTTGGAGTTCCTGGAGCCAGTGTCAAAGCTCGGGATCCGTTGTGCCAGCCTTCATGTCAGCAAAGGAAGCTAGATTCTGCTTTAAAAAGAAAACAGTCAAGCTGATTTCATTTTGGGGACTTGTCACCAGTCTGGTTTGCAAGCAGTCCCCTCCCCCAGCGGCAGAGCCATGCCACAGCTGTGGGGACTTTACAGCTAGGCTAGAGCTTGAGGTGTCTACCCACATCAGACCATAGGATTTCTTTATTAGCTATTTAATAATGCCATACATTTTTATAAGGTTAGATTGTTTGTTTAAAAACATCTGTTTACATTCCATATTCCAATAAAATCGTACTGGCATTGGTAGCAGGTCCTATCTCTAAATGTAGATTGTATTTTTGTCGTTTGGTCGGTGGGAATTTAAAATGCAAATAAAACTCTTAACTAGAGTTGAGCTTACAGATTGAATATTAAAAATAAGACCCCAAAGCCAGAAAATGCAATCAGTTAAGATTCTCATACCAATACTACCTGCCTGTATTGCACATTCTGTATATTGAGGTATACATTTGTTCTACTTGAAAGTCAAAGCCCCGGCATGAGCTCTCAGCTGGACCTATATTGGTATGTCAGGCCAAGGAAGCCTTCTGATGTGCCCTTCTCGGCAACACTGTTGGTAATTATCAGGGAGATATGCCACTTTGTGTCTTTTTTGCCCCCCACCTCTCGTTTCCTCCTCTGTCACTCACTCTCCCCCCTCCCACCTTTTTTTTTTTTTTTTTTAAGTTGCCTGTCTGGACCAGGCAGGGGGAGCATACTGGAGTGTCTTGGTGAAGTAGTAACCCCATTTCTTCCCCTTGGGTTCCCCAGAGGCAGTGAAGGCATCTAGAGGAGTATAGTCAGGTGATGGGTGTACTGCCTCTCTCCGTTAATCGGGGTTTAGTCGGTGCAGACACAACTAACCTGCCTTTCTTGGGGCTCCGTGACTGCAGCTCTGACACAGGAATAATTCTTTTTATGCATGGTTTGCTTCTCCACCACCTATACTTTCCATTTCTCTTCCTGCCTGAGACAGCATGACTGAGTTTAAAATGCCCGCCCCTTTCTGAGTCTGGTCTTGACACCTGGCTGGCTGGCTGGCTGGCTGGCTGGCTGTAGGTTGTTCTTTCCCAAACCGAAGTGAGTCCAGTCCAGACCTTTTCTCTTAGCTATCTCCAGAGCCATCTTGTGGCCAGATGGACCTAGCTCCCCCAAGATTTCAGAGTACTTAACCTGGGCTAGGAGATGGTCATGGAGAGTTCCAAAAGTGGGTGGGGGGAGGGGGCAGGGAAAGAAGAAGGAGAGAGAGAGAGAGTGTGAGTGAGTGAGTGTGAATGAATGAGTGGGAGTCTGCTCTCAGACTCAGCTATGGTATATTTACCCACCCAATACTCTTTTCGGTCAGCAGATTATTTAAGTTCATCTCAGTATTTTTGATTAGCCATTTTGTTTGCTTTGTTACCTTATAACTGGTTAAAAGTGCCTATGATAAGGACTTAGTTATTTCCTAAAGAAAAGCAAAAAATGTGGGGAACAGGGTAGTGTTACACTATCATCTCAGGTCCTGCCTGTGTTCGACAACATAGGCCTGTATGGTGAGAACAAAAAGTTCTTATGCCAAATACAGACGGTCTGTCAGGGCTGATGGGCCACAAGTGAGCCTAAGTGCAAGGCTTGGCTTCAGCTGACAAGTCCCGTGGCGAGAGCAGAACTGATGAGATGCCAAGCGATCTTTTCATCTGCAGCTTGCTTGCAGTTCGCTCTCCCCTGGATCGTGTCAGCTGCCCGCTCCTGTCCCGTCCCTGTGGGAGGGGACTGGGTGGGAGAAGCCAAGCAGACAGTGCAGACCAAGCATTCCTGGGTCTTCTCACCAATGACAGCAGAGCCGATGGCGGCTCTCTGAGGCAGGCGCCTACACACCGGCCGCCGTGCCAGTTCTAACAGACATTCTCTAGCACATGACTGCTCACGAGGCTCAAAGCTACAGTGTTCCCTTGCAGAGAACGAGGGGACTCAGACTGCTTGGCTGGAGAAGGCAGAAGAGCTTGTAATCCTTGGGGGCTCAGGCAGGAGGTGGTTAAAAGAAAGGGAACCAATAAGAAAAACGGTCAAAGGGTAGATCTTGAGGGAGCGTGACTTCTTGAGAGAGGGGGCACCACCCTCATGAGCTGGAATTGGGTCCTGAGATCGGCACGACGCCTGGAGTGGTTCCATCGGGACTGGAAGCTGGTGCCCTTGAGGCAGATGCCCAGTCCCAGAGAGCTGGTGGCCGTGGGTTTCAGCCCACACCTACTCAGGGAAATGACTTAGATTCTCCCAGGTGCTGTAGTAAGGATGGAAGCAAAACTATTTGGGGAACACAAGCAGCAATTGGAAGAATTTTTATATATGCATTGAAATGGTTCTAAGAGAGCCCACTTAGCCATTTCCCTTAATGCCAGTTCAGACCGCACGATTTGTTTAGAAACCTGTGTTACTGCATGAGCACCCACAGGAAAAAGCAAACTTCCCGCCTACGATAAATAAGGGTGGATAATAATGGAGCGGAGTTAAGGTCACTGAAATCTAAGCCCTTCCAAAAGCAAAAGCAGGGTCCACAGGAGCACACAAGAAGCCAGAGTTTGTCAGCGAGCTTAATCAATCTAAGATGGCATAATGTCCTGCTTTTAAAAAACTAACCCCAGGGTGGGAGTGGGGGAGGGGAGCTGGTGGTGCAACATCTGGCCAAGAAAACCAGTAATAACATATACTTTTGAGCTCTATGGATGTGTTCATGGAAACAACTACGAGCAGGTGCTGTGGAGGCTGGGGAAAGTGATGTGATGGGTTATACAGCTGATGAGATGAGTACTTCTGTGTAGAGACTCAACAATGTGCTACAAATGTGATACTTAATCCTGAACTGCATGTATTGGGGATTGTTCAAAAAAAAACCTTTCATTGAATCAATAAATTAACAGTTTTGCACTTGCTGGCTTTTCTTGCTGTAAATGGTAACTAAGAGGTTGGGACAGAAATCTTGACACCCCATGGAAAGCTTGGATAAATCTTCAAGACCCGTGGAGCCAACTCTTTCCTTCTGTTTGCAGAAAAGCACCACTGCCTGGGTTGTGATCCTTTCCAAGTGACCACTTCCGACACACTTGGCCACCTCTTTGTATCCCTGGATGATTGATGTATGACTGATGCCCTGCTGCCCTTAGACAAAAGACAAATGCCGTGTTCAAGCTTGTTTTCATAAATAAAAATGTTGATAACCCCCACCTTCCCAAGCGGGAGACCAGCCACTGCTCTGGGGACTTTAGGCTTGCGTTTCCTGTATCTTGGGGGAGAGGCGGGGTACACCTTGAACTGCAAAGATGTGTGTATGGGGGATGCAGTGAATCCCCACCTTCGTGTGGAACTTTGCTTTATCGAGAGAGGTGGGGCCAGAGTGGTGTCCCGGTGGGGCGCTGCGGTTCCTTGGTACTTGCTTCCCCCTTGGGCACCTGCTTCTGGGACTGGCCCATTTCAGTGCCCAACTTTCACCTCTGTGGCAGAGTGCTCTGCGTTGATGAACATTTCTCCCCGCCCCCATTCCGTGCATCACAAGCAGGCACACGCTATTGTGTGTCTGCATTTGGCAGATGGTGGTGTCTTCAATTAGTGTGCTTTTCCCTGACAGATCCCTCTGTGGCGCTGGACGCTTGGAAATCAGTTGCTGAAGCGCTTAAAGGCAAATAGTCTTTCTTTTCTTAACCTTCTGTGCCATGTGGCCTTTATCGAGAACGTAGAACCCTTCCTTGACCCAGGGAAAGTTTTCATGAAACGATGTTTCTGTGACTGCTTCCTGGGGGCACAGTCCTTTTGCTGTAGTGCCAATCTCTGAGACACTGCTTCTACAATTCTACTGGCCTCTCAACCGCCCACTTCACTGGGCTGGACATGGAAGGAGAAACGGGGTTTTCAGGCCATGCCACACAGCTGCTCCCAGGGGAGAGTTAAAAAATATTTGAGCTCCCTTTTTGCTCTTTGTTTATTAGTGGACTCGGCACTTTGCTGGCGTAAATACAGTCATCTGATTATTAGTCCCGAGATGTCCTGAGTAAATTGGGTCAGGGCTGATGGGGATCTGGAGTTGGACTGCTGAGCTTGTGGCTCGGCTGGCGCAGAATGGTCAAGAGGCCTCCGTGCTTCTAAATCCGTGTTCTGGACCCAAGAGGTGGGGAGGCTTGGGGAACACACGCCATGTCCGCAGCTTTCCCCTTGCTCTTCCCAGAAGGCCGGGCCTGAGACCGCCTCTGTGAGTGGTGATCACAGGAGGAAGGAAGAGGGTATTGCTTGAAACCTGAGACCATAAAGTTAGCTCTTACTAGGTTTTCCACAAAGTGGCATGGGAAAGTCCAGCTTGCGCACTGCTCCCAGCACTCTTCCAGAGAAGGAAGCCACAGGCAAGTGAAGGCCTGTCCTCACTCCGGGTCAGATTGATTAATGCCGTCTTTCCCCTCCTCCCGTCTCTCTCCCCAGGTCTGTTGCGGTTCCTCCCACTTTTCCATAAGCAGAACAAGAACCAAATCAAACGTCCTAACGTGTGTAGAGAGATCACGTTCCGTGAGCAGACACAAAATGGTGGCAGGTTTGGCCAGCACGAACCAGACCAACCGAAGGGCAGCCCACCACCGTATATCAAACCTCACTTCCGAATGTAAAAGGTTCACACGCCTTTGGCTTCCTGTTGACTTCCTCCTGACCCAGAAAGCATGGGAAATGTGAAGGGTATGCAAAACGGTTGTTGGTTACTGTTGCCCCCCTGCGCCCCCTTGGCTCAGCCTGTGGCCACCTGTTTTTCCAGCAGACCACGGTAACTAGCCGACCACAGACTCCACAGTGGGGGCACGGGGGCAACCTATGGCATGACGGGCAGTTACATATTATAATTTTAAAAGTATATATTATTGAATAAAAGGTTTTAAAAGAAACGTATGGAGAGTTTTCAGTGTGGAAGGGGCCATGAACCGAGACCCGTGGCCACAGAGGACTGAGTGAAATAGAAGAGCATTCGTGCCAGGTTCTAGCCAGAGGAAAGCAGGGGGAGTCCCGGGGGTGAGGAGGGCCAGTTTGAAGGAAGCTCTTGACCAGAGATGAGAAGTTGAACAGGTATTGTGGACTACTCCTGGGAATGGGGCAAACTGCAGGTGACTCCAGTAGACGGGGCAAGCCAGGAGAATCATGTTTTGCCTTGACCCTTCCTTCTAACCCAGTGACTAGGCGGTAAACAAATGTCACCTCTGGTGATCTCCAGGAGATGCCTTAGCCCCTTATTTGCTTTCCTATTGCTGGGGTCGCCATAG